CACAATAGAGATAACTTTATCAGCCACAATAGAGATAACTTTATCAGCCACAATAGAGATAACGTTATCAGTCACAATAGAGATAACTTTATCAGCAACAATAGAGATAACTTTATCAGCCACAATAGAGATAACTTCATCAGTCACAATAGAGATTACTTCATCAGTCAGAATAGAGATAACTTTATCAGCAACAATAGAGATAACTTTATCAGCCACAATAGAGATAACTTTATCAGTCACAACAGAGATAACTTTATCAGCCACAATAGAGATAACTTCATCAGCCACAATAGAGATAACTTTATCAACCACAATAGAGATAACTTTATCAGCCACAATAGAGATAACTTTTTCAGCCACAATAGAGATAACTTTATCAGTCACAATAGAGATAACTTTTTTTAGCCACAATAGAGATAACTTTATCAGCCACAATAGAGATAACTTTATCAGTCACAATAGAGATAACTTTTTTTAGCCACAATAGAGATAACTTTACCAGTCACAATAGAGATAACTTTATCAGTCACAATAGAGATAACTTTTTTTAGCCAGAATAGAGATAACTTTATCAGCCACAATAGAGATAACTTTATCAGTCACAATAGAGATAACTTTTTTTAGCCACAATAGAGATAACTTTATCAGCCACAATAGAGATAACTTTATCAGCCAGAATAGAGATAACTTTATCAGCAACAAGAGATAACTTTATCAGCCAGTGCCTTTTCTACCGAATAAAGCCAATGATTTCTGTTGGATAGTCTGAAGCTCTACCAGTTGAGCTAAAAGTGACCTCCCTATAGCCAAATTTGTAATAAGCACGTAACAGACATTCCATGGACGTACTCGACCTGCAGGGATAAACAATGATATAGGTCCATGCATGTTATGTAAACAGTGCCTGGGTTTGGGTAGGTCCAAGAGGGGTATTCAAAGAACATGACATTTAAAAAAAAATCATCATGTAGTAGAAAATCCATATATCCAATACCACAAAGGCATGTAAGATTCTGTTTCCTCCATATATCCAATACCTAAAAGGCATGTAATATTCTGTTTCCTCCATATATCCAATACCACAAAGGCATGTAAGATTCTGTTTCCAGTTGACCGATTGGTTGATACATTGTCATTATCAAATGTACACAATTTCCTGTGTACTCTGAGTTTCATTAAATCACACTGATTTTTTTCAGGCGTTACAGATGGACTACTTTATTATGAAGCCCCATGCCACTCCAGGCCACCTACTCCCTATGCCCGGCAGTAATAAAATTAAAGACCAGAACCAAATCGACAACAGATTCAGCCTCAAACGGAAACTACAGGGGGATACAGGTAAGCATAACAAGGAAGCAGATGTGAAAAAAGTCAGCATAGAAGAATAAGTTCTGGCATCACTGATGACATTTTTTCAGCAAAATAAAGGATTTTTTAAGTCAAAACAGACATTCCTTATGGCTTAACTATTACCTTAAATGTCTAGGGGCTCTTCATTTATTATTTCCTTCTGACTTTATTTGAATCAAATTTTCAATAAACTTTTGATTTCAATTGAGGATGATATGTAAATGCAGAAAAACTATGACTCCTTGCTTTGAAGTTAATTTGTTCAGTGAAGCTCAAGTGTTTAACCTGTTTCAAGGTTAGAAATACTGATGGGTATAGAATGTTCTGTTTGTAGTTGCGAGTGTGTGTCGGTCCTATCTTGATATTTCTTTCAATTTTACCACGGTATCCAGAGTAAGACTAGTTTTGTTTCGTAGTTCACAGGACTAGTTGAATGAATTATTTGCTAGTCTTACATCAGATGTTTATGACTGTAAGAACATAAAATAACAACTGCCATAAAGATATCATAAAATAACAACTGCCATAAAGATATGATGAAGTTTTAGGAAAAGTTTGATGCAATATAACAGTATTTTACACAGTTTACATAAAAGGAATATCTACTAGTTAGGACTATAGGACCTAGTGTTCGTGTCGAACCCTTGTAACAATGCATTGCTTATCATACTTATTACCAGGAATCCTAAACTGGACGTCTTGTTGTTTTACAGGTGGCTTAGTGAAGAGATTGGTGTTTTAGAGGAACATGGAGGGAAAATGCCTCAAATTGATGGAGTGATCTCAGTTGAAAGATATTGTTAAACAAGAAAACCAGGACTTCACTTCTTCGACAAATGTTTCTTTTCCTCAGGAAAGGACAAAAATTCAGTGTGAAAGATTTGAGGAAAAATTGTAATTAACTGATAGGTTAACTCATTCACCCCTGAAGACACATCTGAACTCTTCCAATTCAATGGTTGGAATAGTTCATTATGAAACTTCAGGGGGGAATGAGTTGATTGACATTTTGTTATAAGTGCAAAGTGTATAAGACAATGGAGAGTCATCCTCCATGAAAAGGGAGCAAAAGTTGAGTGAAATAATGATTTGACAGTACATAGAGACTGGATTGAGAGTGAGTGTGTGCCAAAGCATCATCCTTGTTGTTAATTCACTATTTATTACACTCATCACTTGTTGATCATTTCGTGCACACAACCCTTGTTACAGAGAGTCGGATGGAAACGTAGCTTGTTATATTTACCTTGTGACTACCGGTTGTAATGCCAGTATATCAGATGTCTGATGTTCATAAACAAGCAGTGTTTATATTCTTTGATCATGTTCATCTGACACCCCTGTTAATTCGTGAATTCAGATCCTCATAATTGTCAGAAATATAACAAACCACTGTATATTATACATGTTAAATTTTGTTTAAAATTCTTAAATATATATGAGAGAAAAAACAAAGCTATGGTGTCACTTGGTAGATATAATAAGTGGATATGGTAAATACAAGGTTATTCGGGCTCAGCCAAGACAAGATGAATGACATGGTCTTAAGCTTGCCCCAGTAAACTTGGTATTTGAGACACTTAAGAAAATCTTATGTAAGAGTTGTTTGTGAAAAGGAGAAAATGTTTCTATTATTATCATTTCTATGAAGGCATTATTACAAGTCCGTAGTTGTTAGAGGTCGTGGTTAGTTTGCATTGAAACTTTTTATTATTTTGTTATTTTATGTTCTGTGATTTTTTTTTTACAATCGTGTCTTCACCATACATGTAACTAAATGCTACGACATTCTGACCGCGGCAAAAACAAATGTTTTAGAATATTGTTGTGTTATCACTAATTGTTCAGTTCATTGTGTACACAGGGAATTTCAACTACCAATTGAATATTCTTTGGTAACAGAAGACATGATGCTCTTTATACATAAAACCTTGATACATTGTATTTAAGAACTTACTGAAAACAGGGAGTATCTTGTTTATGTCAGCATGGAGTACATTGTGACTAGTACATGTTTATGTCAGCATGGAGTACATTGTGACTAGTACATGTTTATGTCAGCATGGCGTTCATTGTGACTAGTACAAGTTTATGTCAGCATGGAGTACATTGTGACTAGTACATGTTTATGTCAGCATGGAGGACATTGTGACTAGTACATGTTTATGTCAGCATGGAGTACATTGTGACTAGTACATGTTTATTTCACGGACCACCTGACCAGTCACCACTTATCACCTGCCAGTAATGCATGTCCAATAATTTCTGTCATCAATACAGGAACCACAGGGGTCCAAATTGAAAAAACAAGTTCACTATAGGCAAGTATTCGGAGATTTATGTTAGGTGACAGTAGCCATAATTAGAATCCTCCTTAGGATCCGGAGTTGTAATTATTGTTTGGGGAATCATGTTGGAACACCTTAGATTTTACCTTTGATAAACATTATGGAATTGTAACCTTGGAGTAGTTATCTTTTAGTTTTGTAAGTTTCATATCAATTTAAATCATATTCAATTTCTAAATATTTTTTTTTTAAAAAGTTGCATCAAAAAAATGTCCAGAAATAGAAAATGATTCGATTGGAGGTACACAGACTCAGAAGTATGAACAATCTAGAACAAATGCTGTCAGTACTTAACAGCATTTCGCACCAAAAGATGTGACGTAATGTATAGAGTAAGAAGATTTACCCCAACCTTAATTTCCATGAGACATAGATATGGGTTCATTACCAGCACACATTTACAATACAACAGGTTTTACTGTGTGTGAGCAGCAGGTTAGTCAAAGTGTGTTATGTAAATAATTTGGAACTGTGCCATTGAATACCCTCATTACTACAATACTTTACAAATGATAAAATAGTTTGTGCTCCAACTGTGATGTAACTTGTATATTTATCAGCATCTGCCTGTTCAGAGCTCCGTTAATCTGTGACATGTTTCTTTTTCAAAATATGCAGTTTAGTTTTAAGTAGTTTATGAGAAAGTTTTGCACCAAGTTGATGTAATATGGATCAGATAATGGCCTTGAGTGTTATGTTTAATAGGAGGGTGACAGAAGCACTGTATAACTAGGAGGTAGACAATATCAGTACACCCCAGAACTAATCTAATGCACACAAAAAGTTGTTTGTTTATATGTCGACATTGTCATAGTATTAAAAGAAGCAAATTCCTGCTAAGATATTTTTTTAAATTCTCATATTTGGATTTTGATTTGTCTACTATTAAAGTCTAATGTAAAGCTATCATATTTTATTGTTAATATTTGCATATTTCAACTCAATAAAGACTCATACATATTAGTATTAATCAACCTGTTGGGAAGTTTATAATCTCGTACAAGCTTATTTCTAGACATTGTTCTCACTTGTGTTTGATATCTCTCTGCTAGGAACATAGTTCTGCTCCAGCTCAAAGTCTAAAGATTCTTACATAGTTTGGCCTTAGACCTACTGAATACAAGATGTTTACTGCGTAATGGTATATTTTGACATCAGATCTACTGAATACGGGTTGTCTAATTTTTAAAATAACGTTTACATATAAGTGAGTTATTTCCTGACATATATATATTATCCGTTTTCATACCCCTACTATTATTGTGCTTGCCTTTTTTCACTCTCACTTCCTTAGATCATTAATCCTTAACATCTGGTTAGCTTAAAAAAATGAAAATAACATTTACAAAATGCATTATATGCCCGATATACCATGTATATAAAAAGTTTCCAGTTGACCCGTGACCTTTACCTATTTCAGAAGTCAAATCGAACTTTCTCTCTGAATTTTGGAGTCAAACTTATGTCAGATTGACAGGTCTTGTTACTGGTCAAGGTTTGTTATCTGGAACCAATCAAATTCTATCATGAAAAGGTTAAAGGGTACAGAGTATGTATGTAATATCTTGGTTTTTAAGATGAATCAGCAGCCATATGGATTGTCCACATAAAGTCGCTGTTTAAAACCTGAATAGTTTAATGCAGACATTGCATAACAGTTGTACAAATTTATAACTAAAAACTTTCAGGCAACTGAAATGTAGATTATGCAAATCTACATCTCATAATCATTTATTTAAAAATTGACAATCTGTCGCAATGTATTGCTATAAAGATAAACTTAGAAATGATTTGGTAAACAAAAAGTGATTCAGCAATTTCATGTTTAGAAAATTCAACAATAATGGTCCATTTTCATGGATCTTATTTTTACTTTTCCTCTAACAAGTTCTCACGTTTTCATTGTACACGCACGAGTTATACACATGTAAGGGTTCACTGTCTACATACATTTTGCTGTTTTAAATCCTATGTTCTAGAGGAAGTAGAATTTATCAAAGTGAAAACATAGTGTTATAGAAAAATATCTGAAATATATAACTGACCTCAATTTTGTTTGACCTACTTCTCTTTATAAGACCAGAGTTTGCAGAATTTTATTGGAAATGTGGGATATGATAATTGGTGATAGCTTCGAGTTCATCACCGACCTGATATATAACTGGTTAGGATTTCAGTGTAAGAACTCAGAGACATACACTTTTGTGTTGATTTTAACCTCACTGTCACAATGATGCAATTTTTTTGTTATTTTCTTGACTATGCACCTTTGAAATGGGATTTTGTTAGTAGTTGCAGGTACAACCAGTATTGGTTTGCCTTGGTAGAATCTTGCCTCTAGAATGATATTATATCTTATACAGCTGATTAAAGTACCCTTTCTAATGTAGATTTAACCAATGGCAAACACTATGCTGTTAGTTTACACAAATATATTTATTTAGTTCCTATAAGAAAGATAGAAAATGTGCAAAATATCAAATCAGATATTCAAATTGCCCAGTATCATTGAAACTGTGGGTGAACACATTTTTATTTGCTGACATGTGATAAGCTTCTTTTGTTTTGGAACCTCCAATCTACAGATTGCCTATAATACAATATAACCAAATGTATACTTGTCACATATGGTGTCTTTGTAGGAAGAAAACAGATAAAAAGTGTGACATACTGATTTCAATCGGCGTTTTGACAACTCATTATGCTATGTCGTTCATGTGACTGTTGTATTGCACAGTTTAATTGGTCCTACATACAAAGAGAAAAGCAAAAAGTGTGTCCATTGAAAACCAGGGTATTGGATAAGAGTATTTTAATGCTGACGTGCAGTTAAGCTTTGACATATTAGGTAAACCTGTGTTAGAAGGTGTCTTAATTAGATTTGTTATAGTTTGTTTGTCATTGATTCATGCGAAATAAATGAAATATTGTTGTGCAATTAAGTATGTGTGAGAAAACACTTCGGTTAAGCATAAAGGATAAGAAAGCCTTCAATTACTCAGTAACTTTATTTTTATAAAACTGATCAATGAAAGAAGGGGTTTTTGCATGTATTCTGGTTAATACTTAATACATGTAATTTAACAAACTTTATCCAGGTTATCGATTTGTCAGAAGACATGTATAAGTCTTCTTGACAAACAAAATTTCACATATTAAATGAGTTAATAATGCATAACGAAAACAAAAATGCTTATGAATTTTCGTGAATGCAAATTTTAGAGAGCAGAAAGTATGTTTTTGTGGTTGTTTGTTTCAGGGATAAATAAGGTTGACCTGAGCGATGAGGCAATAAAGCTTCATCAATTACGTAGACTGTAACAATTCTCCCTTTAAACATACAAGCAAAACAAACGATGTATAAATGTGAGCAGAATCTAAATAAAACATGTTATCTAGAGTATCAAGCTTGACTGTAGTTTTTGGGAAGCTGTCTTGAGGATCTTGTTCTCATTTTGTGTCCCAGCTAATACATATAGATACTGATAACATATCTGGCATGTGTACAACAGACGCTCGATAGTCCTGCCACCTTATTTAACCAAAGACTCTGTCCCCCAGAAAACACTGCCACCTTATATAACCAAAGACTCTGTCCCCCAGAAAACACTGCCACCTTATTTAACCAAAGACTCTGTCCCCCAGAAAACCCAGCCACCTTATTTAACCAAATACTCTGTCCCCCAGAAAACCCTGCCATCTTATTTAACCAAAGACTCTGTCCCCCAGAAAGCCCTGCCATCTTATTTAACCAAATACTCTGTCCCCCAGAAAACCCAGCCATTTTTATTTAACCAAAGACTCCGTCCCCCAGAAAAACCATGCACCTTATTTAACCAAAGACTCTGTCCCCCAGAAAACCCTGCCATCTTATTTAACCAAAGACTCTGTCCCCCAGAAAACCCTGCAATCTTATTTAACCAAAGACTCTGTCCCCCAGAAAACCTTGCCACCTTATTTGACTAAAGACTCTGTCCCCTAGAAAACCCTGCCATCTTATTTAACAAAAGACTCTGTCCCCAAGAAAAACCTGCCATCTTATTTACACTGACTCGCTGTATGGTGCGACACCTAGCTAGGTTAGTTGTGACTGGATTAACGGAAACTCGAGTGTAGTAGAATCTGGTTAATATTTCCGGATCACTATGGTATCTGTTGCTCTTTCAGATATCTAGATTAATTTTAAAACAGAAATGTAATTATCAAATGAGGAACAAACGTGACAAAGTAAGACAAATTGCAATGCTACTTTGATGATCTGGTGACCTCCGCTAGTCTGGTAATTTTGGGTAACCTAGTGATCTAATTAAGTCGGGCTTCCCACCAATCTGATTAAAATCATCTGTTACATGGCTTCGCCGTTCAGGCGTAGTACGAAGTTAACGGAGCCTAACAGATGATTATAATCAGATTGGCTTCCCGCGGTATCCTTGACAGTTGAACCACATCAATTTTGATTCTAAATGTATTTTGATGGCAAAAGAGACAGATTACCAGAGGTAGTCCGATAAACACCTAAAGTAGCCATGTTTCCTATAATTTCCGTGACAGAATCAAATGGTACTGTTATTAAAGTCTGGTGACCTAAGGCAGCACAGAGTTTTGGAGTGACAACGCGATGGCTAATGTCACTCTTAGTTTAAATCAATTTTATTGCAACAAAAGACAAATGGATTGGACAAACGTTATTGCAACTTACTTACGTCCTTATATATATATACAAAATCAATGTGTCACGTAATAGCCTAAAACAAATATNTATATATATATATATATATATATATATATAAAATGTTAAAGATAGGATTAGGGACACCCAACGTATACTTTTTGAAATATGAATTAGGAGGGTTTTCTTGAGATCGCGTGTGTGATTTCCTAATCGAGTCGGCGTAAGTAGTATACTTATCCTATATGACCTAAGGAAGTCTGAATACCGGTACCCCTAATGGTCTGGTCGAGGGGAACCAAAAGCTGGCTATAGTCCTCAAGCAGATGCAAAGCGCACGAATATTTAAAAAAGAGTATTTGCAATTACTGAAAACCTATAGAGAGCCAATTCTACTCCCTCGCTATGTAATCTGTGATGTGACAAGTGTGTGGGGCCAGGTCAGTATCACAGGGACCTGAGAATGTGTTACAGCTATATTTGAATCTAACTTGTCTAAGGTGTTAAGGGTAATTTTACACGTTTTAGGGGTTTAGATCAACATTCGGTAGCAATGCCACCTCAATGATTCGTGTATATCATCATTGGGGTGTCATTGTTACCGAAAGTCGATCTAAACCCCTAAAACATGTAAGATTACTCTGAATACATTAGTTTAGGTCCAAATATAGCTGTAACAAATTATCAGGTCCCTTTTGTTAGTAGAAGTTCCGTCATTCTCTCCCCGACTGGCTCGGTCATTTCCGTGAAGAAGTCTGCACCGTAAGAAATGAGAGAGTTAACATACAGGGATGTTTTAGTTTTCAGACTAACACACGCGTATCGAGGACTTACTCACTGGGCAAGGTAAGTAGGACTGGGGCAGGGATATACTTATATATTTAAATATATGACAGGATTCTGATGAGACTTTGTAAATATTTGCATTTAGTCTAGTAGCATTTTCGCTGGCCACAACGAAGCAACACTTGGCTAGTGAAGATGGTCTAGTAGCGAAATCAGCCAGTAATTAATGAGCAGTCAGAAATATCTTTGGTTTTGATAATGCATGATTAATTGATTATTGGTAAAGGAGGGCAATTTCATGAATTTCCTTTACTCACCATAGAAATAGAGCGAACAAAAATGTGGAGAGAAAAAATGAAAGAAAATAACGTGAAAAACCCTACTCATTACGAAGCAGAAATTAATCAAAATGTCAGTTCACTTATAGATTTATTTTAATAAGCAGATATTAACACATTTCTTCTCGTTTGTGTTTTTGGTAAATTCCCTTTAATCTTAATAAAGATCGATGTTTGCGCATTCTGTTCTTGAATGCAGGTATGGCATTTCCAATGGTACTGTCACATGTTTGTCTCTAGTTTCGTTGTTCTTTTTATTTTCTCTGTATTTCCGTACACATTCCCTATTTTCCAATCTGATATCATTTATCTTTTTTTCCTTCTTAGCACTTTTAATGCGTTGGTTACGTTTTATCAATGCAAATATAGATATACATTCAGTATCAGCTTTTTAACACGTTTCTTTTCTTTTTCATAATATTCTTTGCGTTTTCTTATCCGAGTTTCTTCACACTTCTGTTTGTAATGCATGTAAACCCAAAGGTCAAATGTCTATCACGTTGTGTAATTTTCCATTCGATTCTGTTAGTTTACTTTTTTCCAAAATATTTTCGCGACTTCATTTGACATCCAATTTTAATCAAACTTGATGTCTTGTCAGATAATTATCCAGTTTTTCTTCTGTAATATCTATAATATTGTTTTGGCACATTGACTCATAGTGGTTAAATTCTGTGAAACGGGTAATTATATAAATATTACCAGAGACGTATAATAATGTATTATACGTCTCTGATATTACCAATAGAAGCGCAAGATAATTCCCTACCCGTGTGCAAAATTTCCATCAATTTTTTAATGAAAACGAAGCCATGAAATTTATTTTCGAAAAGCAAATTAACATGGAATAATTCTTCTTCAGATGAATACATGTAATCTACAGGCGGATTCTTCACGTGTTATAACCTGATCCTGACGTCACAATTGACGATGATATCAATCTGTCTGCTGTATCTTCGTAGTGACATCACTTCCATTTAGCTTTTGTTATTCTTGAAGCTTGTTATTTCTGTTCATATTCGTTTTTGCTCGAGCAGCAAGCAAGTTCCGGTTGTTGCAGATACCTGTGATTATGACGTGAGAGTTGACTAATGCAGAGTGTATGACGAGAACTTTTTCTATTTGGTACCTATTTTTTCATTGAATTCTCGAAAACGTTTGCGTGTGTCACCTCAATTTGAAATCCGAACAAATATGTATAACTAATTCCCTCGATTTTTATCAATTTGAATGAATTTTGTATTTGAAAACTATTTTCGGATCAACAAAATTGAAATTTATTGTACAGCACCGTGTCAAAAGTGTTTGCAGTTTCCCCAAATGCATTTTTATTTTTTCATTGGATTTTTCTGGGGCTAATTATAGCGCTATTAAAACCAAATTTCACAAACTGAAAGATTCGTTTCGTTGATATTTTAACAGTTGTGTTGACTGGTTTTCCTGATATGACAAGTTATTCAGATTAAATTGATTTTACTACGCCATTTTGTTTTTATCTTACAGCAGTGAATATATGTATCCGTGAATAATTCACAATATATTTGCAAATTATTCCACGGAAAAATTTGAAAGTCTTGTCTCTTTAAGAAGGTCCAATTTCATTTTATTGGTAAAATAATTGGGGAAAATTCAACGAAGATAGAGACGCATGAAAAAGACTGTAAATCAGCTCAGCAAATCGTGAGTACTTTAGGCACGAAGCCGTAGAAAGCTGTCGGAAGTCTGAAGTTATCAAGTACTGCAATGTTGTTATTTACAAATCCAAAAATGTCAGAAAACAAGCTCCCTCAGATATTGAACACTACACAGTACATTTTCAATGCTGGTTATTGTTCTCAAATACAAGACAGCCAAAGTCTTACCAAATGATACCTACTAAAATTGAACCAATACATCGTACAGTGCGCGTTTGCTATTTTCTTTTGTGCTTTTGGTTAAAATTGAGTTCTCCATTATCCTTTCTTTGTGCAACAAATAATGATGAATTTAAAAACAAAATGGAGCTAAAATAAATAAATCCTATCATATATGAAAGCTGACACAACATGCCATGATGATCAGATCGTTGTTTGACTTCTATCCATTTAGTAAATTTCATCTTTCGATTAAAAACGAAATGAACAGCATCGTTCGAGAACCAAAACCCCCAAATGGATCTGGATTTTCATCACTCAACTAGCTAAGCTAGTTCTCGACTTACCTAAAACATTTCCTCGCTCGTCTTCTTCTTTTATATTCCACTTAAGTCTTTTTCTATTTGAACTTTAAACTTATCTAACTTTTAGAAATGTCTGCCTCTTGTTCCTCAAAAGCAGACGATCATGAGGCTACATTATTTCTTAATTGTTGAATGCGCATGTCTACGGGAATGCGTCCCGATTGGCTGTTTCAGCCAATATGTCTAAATTAACATGTGCGTGCTTATATTAGGGCGGGATTAGCACGTGGGTTATTTGTGATTGGTTGGCTTTTCATCAGTGGGAATGTCATCTTACTTTGATTGGCAGGTCAGCGAGCCGAACGCTGATCCATTTCAGACGAAAACGAATCGTGTTTGTCACTTTCACTTTAATTGATATTGAAAGATGAATGGAAGTGATTAAAGCATTTATTGGATGAGAAAAACATATGTGTATATTATAAATACCAATTTAGGATAATTTCTTTGTTTTAGCAGAAAGTTACATTGGAATTGGTCTGCACTATATGAATAATATCATCAAATTATTGTTGTGATTGCAAAGATGCATAGGAATTATTTTCTTCTTGTATTAAAGTTTTTCCATTTCCAGTAGTATCAGGAGCCGTCAAAGAACTTTTGGGGGTTGAAAGAATAATATTGTATTGGTGTTCATGGAATTTTTTTTACATTTACTATACAAAGTGCATGATTGAACGGACTATTGTGAAAATTCATGCTGCTGCTTATACAGCCGTCACACCGGACTGGCGTCCCTACGGCGTCCCTACGGCGACCCAGGACGTGGAAGGGACGCCATGGACGCCGTAGGGTCGTGGTGAGAACGCATCAAGACGCCGTGGGGACCCCAAGGACGCCGAAGGTCGCAGAGCGACGGTGTTTACTTTGGACATGTTCAAAGTAAACGCCGAGGTTCGGCGTCCTGAGCGCGTCCTGGCTCAGGACGCCGTGGGATCGCCCTGAGGTCGCCATGGTCGCCGTAGCATCGCAGTAGGAACCCGAACAACGCCAAAGGAACGTAGTACAGACGTGGTAGAGTCGCCATGTAAACGCGGAGAAAAGGATCGGGGGAACCAATGGCGACCTTACTGCGTCCTTACCACGTCTATGGGGTTCTTACCACGACCCCATCACGTCTATGGCGTCCTTACCGCGATGTCAGGGCGGATATTTCG